AAACATCCAACTTTGGCTCAGGTCATGATCTCATGGTTCATGGGTTCACACCCCACAATCAGGCTTTGTGCTGACAACTCTGAGCCTGGAGCCTGCTTCAGATTCCGTGTCTCTCTTCTCTCTCTGCCCCTCCCCCACTCACACTCTGTCTCTGTCTCTCTCCTCTTAAAAATACTAAAAATAAACATTAAAAAAAGAGTGGGATGCTTAAGCAATTGAGCCACCCAGCGACCCCTCCCCTTCATTCTTGAAAATAGTTTTGCAAGATGTAAAATACATTGATGATAGTTATTTTCTTTCAACATTTGAAAAATGCTATGTCATTTTTTATTACTCCATTGTTTCAGATGACAAATCAACTGTCATTCAAATTGCTGATATGTGTTGTGCACAATGTGTTGTGTTTTTCTGGCTATTTTCAAGGTTTTTTCTTTGCCCTTACTTTCCAAAAATTTAATTATGAAGCATTTTGGTGTTAATTTATTTTGTTTGATCTAAAAATACTCACTGAGAGGTCTTAATTGGAAACAGAGAATATTAATAAAAAGTATTAATTATAAATATACATTATTAAAATATTATATTTTAATGGTCAAGAAAGCTTATTCAAAGCTTTTAGGCAATAACATAATTTACGAAGAATAAAGAATTAGGTTATTAATCAGAATTTTCAAAAGCTGTATTCAAAGAGAGACAAGAGAAATCATTTAAAGACTAATAAAAACAAACATTAACTAAAGACTTTATATCTAATGAAGCTGTTTTTCATATAATAGTGTATTAGAACAACAGTGTTCAGCATAGAAGAAATTAGGAAATTCTTCACTCTCAAGCCTATAGTGAGTAGCAAAACATTAAAGGCATATAGATATATAGGGGTGTGTGTGTGTGTGTGTGTGTGTGTGTGTCTATACATGCCTATGGGTATACATGTATACATATGTGTGACTATGTGTGTGTGCCATGATATATATTTAGTGAAATATACAGCGAAACCAATCACAAAGACTAGATATGAAGATTATAATATATTGATTAATAATATTTGTATATTAATTATATATAAATATGTAAAGCTAATAATATATAAATGTGTCATGATGACAAAGTAGTAATAATCCAGCTAAAAGACAAGGAAGTAGCAGAAGAGGGAAAGAAGGAAATAAATTAAGCTGATGTTGTATAGACAACAAGGGAAGTTACAAATATGAATATAACTAGTATATACTTATATATCAGATATATATGAATATAAATATTAGATAATAAAAGGTTGAATAAGAAAAGAGGGAACTAAACACGTTAAAGTTATTATAGATACAAAGGTACCTAAGTAACCACTAGAAAAACTACAACTATCCAAATACCATTTTTATAATTTATTACAGTGTATTGAATTATGAAACATAACCATCATATCAACACATATGAATTGACTTCATTTATCTATTAAAGAAAACATTTTAAATTTGGCTCATGAAGCAAAACATGTGTGTATGTGCTGTACATATACACCTAAAACAAATTGTCAGAAATACAAAAATAAAGGCATATACAAAAGTATATGGGCAAAATGTCACAAGAAAATAAAACGACCATGATATCAACCAAATAGAATTCAGGCCAAAAATGATTAACTGTGACACAGGAGAGCTTTCTCGTGCAAATAACAAACAAATCACAAGAAATATCTTACAGGTATCAATGTGCATATAGCAAATAATACACATACCCTCTTTATGAAGGTACAGATATATAAAGCCAAGATGTAGAAGAAATCATTTTAGTAATGGGGGACTTTAAAACAGCACTTTCAGAAGAAGACAAAATGGAAAAAATAAGTAAGCAAAGAGAAGACCTAAACATTGTTATCAAAAAGGTAGCTTTTATGGTTACATATTGACCTTTATATCCTAATAATAGAGATGAATCATCTTCTCAAGCTCCCAGAAAATATCCACAAAAATTGATTGTCTATTTATAGAAAGCATTAGTAAGTTTTGTAAAGTAGAAATACTAGAAAAAAATACTCTTTGAAGTCAGATAATAAAAACAATAATTGTTAATGAGAATAAAGAATAAAAAACCCTTTAAAAATAAAATCAAGCTGGGGGACCTGGGTGGCTTAGTCGGTTAAGCGTCCGACTTTCGCTTAGGTCATGATCTCGCGGTTCGTAGGTTCGAGCCCCGCGTCGGGCTCTGTGCTGACTGCCAGCTCAGAGCCTGGAGCCTGTTTCAGTCTGTGACTGTTTCAGTCTGTTTCAGTCTGTGACTCCCTCTCTCTGACCCTCCCCTGCTCATGCTGTCTCTCTCTCTCTCTCTCTCTCCCCTAGAAATAAATAAAACATTTAAAAAATAATAATAAAATAAAATAAAATCAATCTGTAATAAAACACACACAAAAATACCCTTTTACTTGGAAAATAAAAAACCTTCCATTAAAAAATTCTTTGGTGAGAGAGGTGATACAAATGAAATGACAGATCTTAAAATAATTAAATGATAAAAATGGTCCATAACAGGGCTTATGAGAAATATTTAAAGCAGTTTTATAAAAAAAAAAATTATAGCATGAAGACTTTCATCAGTAAAAATGAAAGAAAATAAATTTATATTTCCTAGTATACTTTATAACACTTATAAAGAAAAATTTTAAAAAACAAAAAAGCACAAAGAATTAATAAATAAAAACGTAGAAATTAGTGAGGTAGAGAATCACATAAAAAGGTGACTTATAATGAGCCAAAATGCTGTTATTAGAATTAACAGAACTTGCCAATTCGATGAAGAGAAAAAAAGAGAAACCATTTAAAAAATAAATAATATGAGGGAACATTAAACAAGAAATTTTAAACATCATATGAGACAACTTTTAAGAACTCTTTGTATTGTAAATTTGAAAACCTAGATGAAATAGATCATCTCTTAGGAAAATACAGTTTACTAAAAAGGATGCCATTAGATTTAGAAATCAAAAGCACCAATATCCTTAGAATAAAGCAAATTGTTAACAAAATACTTCACATAACAGCCAAGACCTAGATTATTTCTCAGAATTCTATCGAATATTCAACAACTGAATATCTAAGTTGTTGAAGAGCACTGAAAATGAAGGACAACTTGTTAATTCCTATTATAAAGGATGAATAATATTGAATCTGTGATAGGCAGACTCTCCACATGCTCCTTTGATTCCAGCCTCCTGATGAAAATGCCCTGGGGTGACCTCATCTCTGTGAGTGTGAGGGAGACCAGTGACTTGCTTTGTATCCAACAAAATATGGCAAATGTAAATAGTTAATGTGTAAGTGATTATGTTACGTAAGATTATAGCACTCATCTTGCTGGAGTCTTTCTTCTTCCTTGCTGGCTTTGAGAAAACAAGCAACCATCTTGGAAATTTACTTGGCAAGGAACTATGGGCAACATTTGCAGCTGAGGGGGACTTCCAGCAGAGAGTTTGCAAGGGTCCCTGGCCAGGAGCCAGCAAGAAAATGAGTCTTTTGTTCCTACAACTCCAATGAACTGAGATCTGCCAACACTAACATGAGTCTGGAAATGAATCCTTCCTAGCGAAGCCTCAATGTGACCACAGTCCCATCCAACATCTTGAATTAGAATCTCATGAGACCCTGCAGCTTCTCAGCCTACATCCGAAACAGAGTTTTTATCTAAATATTATGGCCCACCATGCATGCCAAATAGCTTTAGAATTTATTGCCAGCTTGGAATGTAGTAGATTATTAAACTATTCCTTAAGTTATGTCTCTTATACCTTTAAAATGGATACTTTTAGGGATGCCCTGGCTTAGTCGGTTAAGCCTCCAACCTTGGTTCGGGTCATGATCTCGTGGTTCACAAGTTCGAGCCCCCCATCAGGCTCTGTTCTGACAGCTCAGAGTTTGGAGCCTGCTTCAGATTCTTTGTCTCCCTCTCTCTCTACATTTCCCCTGCTTGTGCTCTGATTCTCTCTCAAAAATAAATAAACATAAAAAATAAAAAATTAAAATAAAATAAAATAAATTAAAATAAAATGGATACCTTTAAAAATGGATGCCTATTTAAAACAAAATTTTTAAATGTTTATTTTTGAGAGAGAGAGAGACAGAGACACAGAGGGAGACAGAGCGCAAGCAAGGGAGGGGAAAAGAGAGAGGGAGACACAGAATCTGAAGCAGGCTCCAGGCTCTGAACTGTCAGCACAGAGCCTGATGTGGGGCTCCACCTTGTGAACTGTGAGATCATGACCTGAACCAAGGTTGGAGGCTTAACCAACTGAGCCACCCAGGCACCCCTTAAAATAATACCTTTGAAATGGAGGATTAAAAGTAGAGAAGGATACAGCAACAATGTTCATTTAATTTATGGAACATGAATATAACATTTGGGGATATTAATTGTTTCTTTATTATGTACTCTATGCCAGGCTATGCTTAACCTAACATATAAGTAGTACATGATTTACTGTTACCAGTTACCCAGCATAAGAGATAGTATTCCCTCAGTAGCAGAGGAGGAGGAAATGGAACTGTACAAAAACTACTTTTCTAAGAAAACTGACCTAAAGATAATAAGAGAAAAATACCTCCCAAAGAAAACAGTTGTTAGCTTTCTTGAAAAAAGAAAAAAAATTGTAAGTAATACTGGTCATAAAATTATGACCAACATGAAAACCAGGGCTGCCATTTTGGATTGAACAAGTTTATTAGGTCAACACAGAAACGAGCTCCAGCATGAACATCATCAAGGCAGTCGCTGTGACACCATCACCCTGATGAAGACAGAACTGTGCGGTCACAGGTGAATTTCACCATCTCCCACTTCTTGAGGCAAATCCAGGGAATCTGTAGGTTAGGTTGTAGGCAGCAACAGACCTACTAGACTTTCATCATGCAGGATATCGTCACCCAAGGGAAAGGCCTAGAAGGTGTAGGGCTCAGAACTGGTGAATCCCATGTCCACGTGTAGAGGGTGAGAGTCCCTCATGGCGTCCTCATTACTAGTAGCCACAGCCAAAACCACAGCCAGAGCCACAGCCATAAAGAGAGTGGGAGCGATATCCGTAGCCACAGCCAGAGCCACAGCCTAGTCTACGGAAGCCACAGCCATAGCAGGAGCCATAGCCACAGCCTCCGTAGCCACAGCCTCCGTACCTGCAGCCTCCATAATAGTTTCCGTAATAGCTGCCACACATGGCGTTGGTTGTTGTTGTGCTTGGGTAGAGAAGGGGAGGAGAAGTGTTACTTCAGTGTGGACATTCCCCTGCAGAGGGCCTTTTATATACCCTCAGCGTGAGTGGGACCCACCATACAAGTCATGCCATTGGCTAATTTGCAAGACCGTTCTGAGTAATTTGTTCGCTGCTGATTTTAGGGTATGGCTTCAGGGGTAATGAAGACATTTGCTGTTGTTTAGCTACATCTGAATCACTTGTGAATCATGAATAAGAATCAATTGTCTCATATTGAAAACCTTACTTATACAAGATCTTCAAATTAGCAATTTTTAACCAGACTTTATGATAAGAAATAGCATTTGTAGTACACATTTTGAGCTCCAAACAACCAATATTTTTACCTTTTTTTTTTTCTTGGCTGACATTCAACCGGTCAGAATAATCTACCTTCACCTGAGATTCTCCGTCCCTTCTGTTACAAACTCATTTTTTCTCCTTAAGGGATTTTCCTTATTTTCACATGAGACATGGTTTATAGTAAGAGCCAAAAGATATCACTAAACTATATGAGGCTATTGACAAAAAGCCAATAGTTTGAAATTCTAGACCACCAGTCTTGAAAAAACTGAGCTTTTCTTTTTCACTTACATTAATATTTCCTTTCGTGATTCTATTTTTAAACCATCAATTTTATTTCATGGTTTCAACTTTATGTCCTGCATCTATAGCCAGACAAATAGAAATGAGATTTTATTTCATTTATAAAATTGCATATTCATGAAAGAGTTTTCTTTAAAATTCAACATATTTGTAATATTTGTGTTTTGACTCAAAAGTGAATATAGGCATTTCTTTACTTAAAATAATACTACTGAGATATCTTTCATGGCACTGAAGGACTTTCAACAACAAACAATGAAGTCTTGGTAAAATATCTTGGATTATGAGAAATGTATTACTAATGCCCAGTGAGTTTTTTTTTTTTTTATGTAATAAAGCTCAGAGCTTACTTCAGTGATTAAGTGAAATAGCCCTATAAACTTGTGTTCATAGATAATTCATTAGAGTCAGATACAGCATAATAAATAAAAGTAAAACTTCTGAAATCAGCTCTCTGGGTTCAAATCTTATCTCTATCCCTTATAGCTCTGTGACTTTAACAGTGTGCTCCACTTGCGAATGGGATGCATCAAGCACAGCAATGTCTGGCATGTAGTAGGTACTAGAATCACCTTTGCTATTATTATTATGTACTTCATTCCAAAACTGTTTTCCTGGATAGAAGCTTTTTTTTTTTTTTCCAAATAGTTTATTGTCAAATTAGTTTCCACATAACACTCAGTGCTCATCCCCACAAGGGTCCTCCTCCATGCCCATCCCCCAATCCCCCTCACATCCATCAGTCCTCAGTTTTTGTCAGCATTCAAGAGTCTCTCATGGTTTGCCTCCCTCCCTTTCCCCCACCATTTCCCCCTTCTTCTCCCCCTTGTTCCTCTGTCAAGTTCCTCCTAATCCTCCTATACGTGCAAACATATGGTATCCGTCCTTCTCTGCCTGACTTATTTCGCTCAGCATAACATCCTCAAGGTCCATCCATGTCGCTACACATGGCCAGATTTCATTGTTTCTCATTGCCATGTAGTATTCCATGGTATAGATAAACCACATCTTCTTGATCCATTCATCTGTTGATGGACACTTAGGCTCTTTCCATGTTTTAGCTATTGTGGAGAGTGCTGCTATGAACATTGGGGTACATGTGCTCCTATGCCTCAGCATTTCTGTATCCCTGGGGTAAATTCCTAGCAGTGCTATTGCTGGGTCATAGGGGAGTACTATTGTTAGTTTCCTGAGGAACCTCCACACTGTTTTTCCTGGATAGAAGCTTTAATGAAGAGTTATGTGAGTTGAACAAGAGAGCTCAGACATGCCTAAGCCCTCATGTAGGGGTCTGGGGTCATTGCAAAGAACAGAGAAACCCTACATTAAGTCTATGCATCTAAAAGTAGAGAAAGGTACTCCTGGGTGCCTCAGTCGGTTAAGCATCAGACTTGGGCTCTGGTCATGACCTCATGGTTCATGAGTTTGAGCTCTGCCTCAGGCTCTGTGCTGACAGCTCACAGCCTGGAGTCTGCTTTGGATTCTGTGTCTCCCTCTCTCTCTGCCCCTTCCCTACTCAAGCTCTATCTCTGTCTGTCTCTCAAAAGTAAATGAACATTGAAAAAAAATTTAATAAAATAAAATATAAAAGTAGAGAAAGGCATATTCTAATTTTCCTGAGAAGGAGCAAGTCCTTTGAGTGACCCAAGAAACACAACATTAGCAGATAGAATACAACATTTGGTGCCTACCCAGATGGATTTAAGTGAGGGTTCATTCTTTTTCCTAGCACAGTGAAAATCTTTCTGGCTATAGAGCCACAAAGATGTAGCACTGGATGGCAGGAAATGGATTGATCAGAGGAGATTTTTGGTTAATGACAATGGAAACTGGCAACATTCGTTATGTAGTCACAGATGTCAGCGCAAGACAGACAAAAGTGTTCCCTTTCAACCAAAAGCACACTTCTGCACAATAAAGTCCACCTCAGGAGGGACAGGAGAGGTGAAAGCTTTAATTAGATTGAGCTTTCATTCTGAAGACTAGAATGTCATTGAGTTTTGCTCTTGACCTGGAAGGGACAAGAATAAATGTTTTGCAGTCTAGTAGAAATGGCAATTCAAGATAGAATTTGGTAAAATATGAAAATAAAGCATATTTGTACGCTAGTGAAGTTTTATCTCATAAAAATGTCACCTGGGCTATGTATTTAAAATAAAATGAATTGTTTTAGCTAAAAAGACATATTGAGCAATATTAGGTATCTCATACTTTAAATAAAATTTACCCCTTAGCGCTTGTATTTTTCCAAAGCTAAACAGAGAAAGTAACGTTTTCATCAGCAATAGGCAGGTGAACTTGAAGTTATTATTAATAAGCCCGAAACAATTGGAATCAGTTGAAGTCTGCATAGGTTTTGTGATTTCATAGAATTTCATTATGGAACTTAAATTTGAGCCCTCAGCGAGAAAGGGCTTTAAAACCAAGTCAGATATCTGTCATTTAATGCATATGATCTGACTGAAAATATTGAACCAACAACAGAGTAATTTTTATTCTGAAGGCCTAATGAAATAAGAGGTTTGCAGTTTTTGTTGTTCATAATTAATGCAAAATAATTTATAATAAGTGCAACATTGCTGTGACTTACTTCACATACTACTGAGGAAATACAAAACTCCTTGTGAAATAGTGATATTCAAACTCAGGGAAGTATCTTCCTTGTCTACACCATACTCCCTGACACCATGACCTCCAACACCAACTGCTATGGACGCTATGGCCATGGCAATGGCTGTGGCTGCCATGGATATGGTGGCTACAGATATGGTTGCTGCTGCCCATCTTGCCATGGAAGATATCGGTCACATGGATTCTACTGAAAACTTCTAGAACCACTGGACCCACCAGATTTGTCCTCCTGTGAAACACGGATCCTATCTCTTCAAAATAACAAAATTCTAAATCTAGGCTATCATGAAAGAACTACAGATGTTATCTTTCTGACTCCATTGTGGAAGTTCATAAAGAATATTTTTTAAAATGCAATAAAAGTTTCTTCTTGACCTCTCAGTCCTTCTTTCAGTAAATTTAATCTTTTTTGCTAATATGATATGCTTTCATATTTATTTATTTTCACTGTTATTATTGCATATGGATGATTATAAGATAAAAATGTGGTGTGTAGTTCCTATCCCGTTGACACTGCTTTCCTCCATGTTTTTTTTCTATCTTTTGTGTGTGTGTGTCCCTTTAAATATTTCCCCTGCTATTTAAAGCTGGGCTTCCATGTGACACAGTTGATTGCGTCCCCCTCAATAAATTTGGCTTCTCTTTCATTTGCGGCAGAACAGTTCAAAACACACCTGAAGTCTGATAGCTGCATGGGGCTGGCTGGCTGCCCTGGTTTCCCCAGGACACAGAGGAACACACCCACGCGTTAAATGATGCTTCTATGAGTTTTCCAGGCGTCTGCTTTCTGGTGGCTTCATCATAAGAAAGCTTCTCAGATGCCTGATGTCATTCCCACAGAATTCACATCCAGCCTGAAAGTGGACTAGGGAGTGTTGTACCAGCCCCGAGAACCTGGCTGCCTTTAGTAAATTTCTTTATGTGAGATCGTGTTGATTATGAAGTCTATTTCATACATCCACTCAGTCTTTCCTTCATTTAACACTCCGTGTTTAAAGTATGCCAGGCATGCTGCCGTGTTGGAAAGAGAGTTATTTGAGATTGTTTCCATTGTCATGTTACTGAATTTTATATAGATGTGCCACCTAGAAGACATGGATATCTATGTAATATTAAACTGTGGAGGTAGAATATTCTGATGTTTTAAAATCTTTCCCAAATAAAGAATTGAAGTGTCTTTTCACCCTATTTATATAAAAATAAAGCTTCTCAAAATTAATTTGTAAAAACAAACTGTTGAGATTAAGAAGGATATATATTAGTCAAATTTCAAAAATAAATTATATAATTAAATAATAGGATTCAGATTGATTTGAAAAATAAAAGATGATTTGGTGAACTTAACAAATATTACATTTTTCCAGTAATTCAAATAAACCGAATTTAGAACCAAAACTTCAAATCTATGTATTATAAAATCTTAAAATTTTTTCTAACATGTTAAGGCATAGCCTATCATAATGTGAGTTCTTACTGTTATAAATAATTCCGCATGTTTTTTTAAGGTTATTTATCTATTTTCAGAGAGAGAACACACGTGTGTGAGCGGGGGAGAGGCAGAGAGCAAGGAAGGGAAATAATCCCAAGCAGGCTCAGTGCTGTCAGTGTAGAGTTGGACACGGGTCTCAAACTCACAAACCGCTAAATCATAACCTGAGCTGAAATCAAGAGTTGGCTACTTAACCACATGAACCACCCAGGCATCCCAATTTTGTGTGTTTTATATT